TATCAATAGGTGGTAAATACTTAGATAATAATCTCAAATCCTGATAGTGTTTGCTATCTATTCATTAAATAAACACCCAATACTCTGCAATTACATTTGGGGTAAAGAAGAAAGTTATCCAAACCAAAGGGGCTCAATTGAGAAGATTGTAAGAGCTAATTTGTTAAGAGGCTTCCAAGACATTAGAGAATCAATGTACTTCCCCAAATGCCCTCAGGTAGTAGTCAGTTATCAATAGCAGAATTTCTCCCAGTTGGCCATGAAAATTAAAATAGCAAATATCTCAGGATGATTGGTAATACAAACAGCAGAAATCTTGCTTCCATCTTTATTAGTCTGGTTGCAGTTCATACAATATAATCATTGAATTATTCAGAAGCATATTCTGGGCCGGGCGCGGTGGCTCGCGCCTGTAATTCTAGCACTCTGGGAGGCCAAGGAGGGAGGATCGCTTGAGCTCAGGAGTTCGAGACCAGTCTGAGCAAGAGTGAGACCCCATCTCTACTATAAATAGAAAGAAATTAGCCAAACAATTAAAAATAGAAAAAATTAGCGAGGCACAGTGGTGCGTGCCTGTAGTCCCAGCTACCTGAGAGGCTGAGGCAGGAGGATCGCTTGAGCCCAGGAGTTTGAGGTTGCTGTAAGCTAGGCTGATGTCATGGCACTCTAGCTGGGGCAACAGCGTGAGACTCTGTCTCAAAAAAAAATAAAATAAAAAGAAGCATACTCTGTACACTCCTTATGTTACAACTGTGGCCATTTTAGTTTAATGTCAAAAAGTTTTCAACCATAGGCAAATCCTTATCTGATATTTGTACCCATTTAAGGCAATTACAGTCAGTTCTGCTATAATGCAATGTATGCCTTTCTAAAAATTATTATGTTATGCAAAGTTATGCAATAAAAACCCACAGTTTATAGAGGAAATGGGATTATTGGCACAACACTCAGGAACTTTGTCAGCGACACATTAAAAAATTAAGATAAGAACCTAATATAAAACAATAGCGCAGTTTATGGTTAATAATGCTACTATCAATATGGCACTTACCTTCAAAAAGACCTGAAAGTTGCTTGTGGAAGTGATGCTTCTGGAAGTGTTGTAGCTTGTGAGCTATTATTGTGAAATAGTAGATGGATTATTTGAAATCAGATGGATAGTTGTAACCTCAGATGTGAATGGGTGTGGCTTATGTCACATGAGTGAACTGAGGTAGCTGATGGACGTTCGAGGGGTGTGTCTGTACATTTTGTGCATTCCTAGCTGGCTCAGTTCCATTGGGTGCAATTTTCTGCATTTACCTAGTTTTTCTAAGGAATGAAATCATGCATAATCAAATGTGAAATTGTCCTCTAATAAATCAATTGCATGGTACAAATTCTTATTTTCAATACAAGCATTATAGCAGAACCGAGTGTACCATTGTGAAATGCCACCATGTTGGCCAGTCTAGAGTTTGGGTTTGGCACTTGTGATGATCTATCATTTTTACAGTGAAACCTCTGAAGATTTTGACCCCTCTGACTGATCAGACTGTAAATATTGGAAAAGAAATCTGCTTGAAGTGTGAAATCTCTGAACATATACCAGGAAAATGGACTAAAAATGGCCTGCCTGTTCAGGAGAGTGACCGTCTAAAGATTGTTCACAAGGGAAGGTAAGCAAGCCCAGTGACTGACAAGTGAGGGCTGGTCTCCATCTCCACTTTCTCCACTGTCTAAATTACATATTGGGTGAGGGTATTTGGAGAGTGGCCATAGGGAGATGGTCTATTTCTGGTTCTTTGCTTCTAACCAGCAAGAACGTGTGATTTCTCTTGTCCAGCATGTCCTACTCGTGATCCTGTAGCTGCACTTCACACTATGGTGCTCCGTCCACTCAAAACCCATTGATTGTTTTTTCCCTCCTAAACATGAAGTTAGAGGATTGATACTGAATTCTGGTTGAGGACCTGGTCAAATGGATTAATTGTCTCTAACCAAGAAGTGTCACATGACCTTCCCACAAATCTTTTTTGGGTAGAGGGCATAATATCCTAGACTCTGGCAAAGATCTAAGGCAAGGGTTTTAACCTTGGATCTGTGGACTCTTAGGATATCAGGAATGGACTTCAGGGAGCCCCATAAATCCTCTGTAATTGTGAGAACATTCTGTGAGTACAAAAATACATACTTTCTACAAAGAGAGGATCCATAGTGTCTACGAGATATTTGCTGGTTCATAACCTCAA